ACAGAAACTTTTAGAGGGATGCTCCCTCAACGTATGCTTGTCAATAGAGCTTGAATAAAGTGCTGTCATATTCCAGGTTTACAAAAATATGAGAAGATCAGCAATCATGAGCAAGGGTAACCAGGAAAAATAAACAGCAGAATTAGACTTGTGTGAATGTCAGATATTGAAATTAGGAAGTAAAAGTATGAAATACATATGGGTAAAATATTCAAAGAATCAAAAGGGAGAATTAAAAATATGAACAAGGAGCAAAATACTGTCAGATACCAGGAAAATTTGAAAAAGAATCTAATAGAACGTATAGCGATTAAAAGTGTAATACTTGAAGTTGAAAAACATTGAATGGATTAAGAATGACTGAGAATTTTCCAAAATTAAAAGATATGAATCATTAGACTTAAGAAGTATGACGAATCTAGAGGAAGAAAAATAATTGGATAAAACTGAAAACTAAGGGAAACTTAAAAGCAGGCAGAAACAGATTATCTACAAAGCTGTAGATACTAGACTGGTAACAGACTTCTAAACTATAACAGTGAATGGTGGAGGTGATAGGACAAAGGCTGTCAAATACTAAGAGAAAACAAATGTCATTCTAGAAATACTAAATAGCAAAATCATTCATAAACAAGGATTTTGAAATAGATTTTCAGAAAAACATCAGATTTTTAAATAAAAGACTGACTACACTGTGTTGCTGAGCATGTGGAACAGTGAGCACTTAGACAGCTGGCAGAAATATAAACAACTGCTTTCAAGAGTAGTTTGGCAATATCTAGTAAGTTTAAATGTGCATTTCTCCGCTGACCCAGGAATTCTACTTGTCTTTATATATGTATACTGGTATATATCTGTTTTGACTGTAATGTACTGAAATCAAATTCTCAGGAAACAAAATTTACCTTTGTTTATACATGCAGTCTATTTTGATCTATCCATGTGCCTTGTTACTTTTCTTTTTCCTTTTTCTCTTTACTCTCCACCACTCTCACTTTTTTTAAAAAGCTGTTTGTGACCCTGGTCTGCTAATGTGATTTTATTCATGGGTTATGAAGCACAGTTTAAAAACCAGTGCCTTGGCCGGGCGCTGTGGCTCACGCCTGTAATCCTAGCTCTTGGGAGGCCGAGGCGGGCGGATTGCTCAAGGTCAGGAGTTCAAAACCAGCCTGAGCAAGAGCGAGACCCCGTCTCTACTATAAATAGAAAGAAATTAGTTGGCCAACTGATATATATAAAAAAAAATTAGCCGGGCATGGTGGCGCATGCCTGTAGTCCCAGCTACTCGGGAGGCTGAGGCAGGAGGATCGCTTGAGCCCAGGAGTTTGAGGTTGCTGTGAGCTAGGCTGACGCCACGGCACTCACTCTAGCCTGGACAACAAAGTGAGACTCTGTCTCAAAAAAAAAAAAAAAAAAACCAGTGCCTTAAAGAAACTCATACATAAGTGCAAAAAGAATATGGGTGGGTAGGGATATTCATAGCAGTATTGTTTGTAAGAATGAAAAATTGGAGGCCATTGGAAGCCCTAACAAATGAAAATGTATAAATGAACTGTGATATATACATGTAAGGACTTTAAACTAGAAATCATAATAAATCAGTGAATCATGATGCCCATATTCAATGAATACACTTACAGATGTAACATCTATTGAAGGCAGAATATATAAAGTATATTTATATGAGGTTTAAAAATGCAAAGCAATACTATGTATAGTTTTATGGGTATACACATATATAAAAACTTACAAAGAAATCCATGGAAATGATAAACACCAAACAGATCATCTCTGGCAGGAAAAGAAAAGTATTTCTGTTATCTAGATAACATTTTTTTCCTTAAGCTGGGTGGTGGCTACATTGGTATTTATAAATAATACCTTCTATTTCTTTGTATATTTAGATATTTTACAATAAATTTTATAAAATGAAGGTAGCAATAATGACAGTCAAATTGAGATTTCTCTCAGAAAGTAGAGCAGAAAGAGTTGAACATTATGAGAGAGAAATTTGAGACTTACAGATCCAGCAGATCAGTTTGTGTGAAATAGTAATTCTAGAACCAAAAAAAATACAACATGCCTAGCAGAAGCAGTAGATAATAAAATAGTAGGATAACATTTTCGTGAGCTGAAAGAAAGCCTTATAAGATATACTGAAGTCAAATTTCTAGTTAAATAAAATATTTGGTAGAACTTTTGAGTTTCAAGGATCAAAAGAAAATCAAGATAGAGAAAACAGACCTACTTTAAAAAAGAATCAGATTGGCATTTGATTTTTCTTATGCAACACTAGAATGAATAATGGTGGAATAATTCCTAAAGAATTCTGAGATAGAAATATTATTACCCTAGAGTTCTGTGCACAGCATAGCTATGCTTTAAGTATGAAGGCAAAATGTGTTCTTTCTAAAGGATTATGAACTATAACACTTAAAGATTTAAATAAGTGAATAGATTGTTTGGAGGTTTTTAAGCAAAATGAATCAGAATAGAGAATTCTGGACCAAAAAAGATAAGTATATATTAAACATTGACAAACAAAATCAAACAATAAACCAAAACCCAATTAGTGAAACTTAAAGGTTAAATATGAAGAATTGTTAATAATGTACTTTGAAGTGTAATATAACTTTAGACACAATATTCCTAAAATAATGGAAGACATGAAAGAAAATGACAATTGGGAAGTAAAATCTAGATGATTTAATACAACTTGTGCTATAGCAAGTGGGGGTGGGGTGAAGGGGGAAAGTAAAAGAATACTATGCATAATATACTATGCACAGAATTTCTATGCATAGAGTTGCAGGAGGGGATACTTGATAGTTCTTGATACTTTTGAAGAAATAGAAACTGAAATATGTGGTGAAAATTTGAGGAGACTTTTGTTAAAAGAAGGTAAATGATCAGCTCTCCCAACTTTCCCCACATCTGTTTGAAGAGACTAAAAATGTATTTACAAATAAAAAAATCCTGTAACTGCATTGGGTAATAAGAAAAGTTGACACTGATATAGCAGATTTGAGGACTATAGGAAATAGATGGAATGAGAGGGGCAGAGAAACAAGAACAGAAAACCATAACTGAAAGCGAAAAGTTCTTGAGGATTTCAAGAAACTCTATTCCTGTTAACAGTTTCAAAGAATTGGAAAGGAAAAGGGCTGGTGATCATCAGACTAATTAATTTAAAAACTGCCTGTAGGAGCTGGGCTCTCCCCTTCCTCATTAATACTTGAATGATTGTCAGCAAGGGTATTTGTCTCAAGGATACAGTCATGGCTTCTGTTCTGCAGATGATTCTGGAGAAGGCTTCTATGTATATGGGCCTGGGAAGAGTAGCAGAGCAGTGTCTGAGAACTCTACCAAGAACACACAGAAAAAGGAAAAGAAAGATGGTTCCATCTGTGTGTAATATACTAAAACATACTACCCCAAAAGTAAGCCTTCATTATGTTGGCAGTCTTGGGGTACCAGCCCATACTCTGCTTTATGACCACATGCTCTAAATTAAAACATGCCTCTTGATATGTTCCATCCCCTCACATTGACCCTGAAATCAGTTCTCCTATTCAGGGAAGAGGTCTTCAGAGAGGGAGAGACCCATAGATCTATAAGAGAAACCCATGCCAGTTAGTTCTGGAACAGCTTTCACAAATTTAGCCATCAAAGATAATCAGAAAACCAACAACACAAAATAGAAATGAACGTAAGGGAAGAACTGATCCTTGGAATATGGGAATGATACAAGAAATACATGGAACGTAAATCCAATTTGTATCTTCAGAGAGATTTAAGAGGATAAAATAGCTAAAAAACCAAATCAGGCTATTCTGAAAGAAGCAATATGTGGACATCTCAGAAACAAAAAATCTGTTTGTTAAAATAAGAAAAAGGAAGGACTGAAACTGAATTAATGATTTAATAGTGAAGTTGAAGAAACATCATAGAACCTGAAGATAAAAAGATGGAAAATATGAGCAAATGTTTAAGTGACATTTGGGCATGGAACCAGGAATTTCAGTCTTCAGAGGAGATAGAAAGAGGGGAGAAAATAAAGACATAGTAGAGCACAATACCTAGATGCCATGGAGTTGTGTATACATATTTAAAAAGATGAGCACAATTGATATATACTCCTGTGGAAAAATCATCAAAATATATGAAGCAGCAAGTTGTGAGAACAGTATGTGTAGTGATCAAAATAACGTGCATGTTCAAATGTGCAAAAGAGAAATTGAAAGGACATGAAATAGTAATGGCTACATTTTGAAAAAAGGGTGGAGGAATGACAAAGGAATTCTTTCCTTAACATATAATGTTTTATAAGGAGCATATTTTAATTTAAAAAATAACTAAAAGTTACATTGTAGAGGAAGAGAGGAGAGCAACGTGTGAGGGTAGCAGTGGTTACTTAAACCACTTTAACTTAGAAGCAGGGTCAAGCCTGTAGTTTTCTTTATAAGGTACTTTTCTGTTACTTCTTAGCAACTATCTCCTTCCTCTACTATTCCTAGATTCTCACAGAAGTGTATTTTCACTTTTCTCTGAACCTTTTTTACCCAGAGTATGGGAGTGGGAGTGGGGTTGGCTATTAATTTCATCATTGCATATAGATTTTATGAGAGATGATATAAATGTGGGCAATACCTTAAATATCCTTACATTCTAGGTATTGCTTTATTAATGGAGGAATAGTATCAATCCAGTATCTTTCGTGGAATGAGTCAGCATATAAATGAATTAAAATAATGAGTTGTAAAGAGAAAAACAAGGAGAATGACATATTCAAGATTCAGAGATGTTAGCCTGGTGGGTTTTTGTTTTGGGTTGAGAGTAGGATTTGCTCAATATCAGAATAGTAACATGTGATGTGAGGTGTGAAATGGTGTTCTGGACCACTTGAAAGGCCCTATCCTTTTTGTGAGGAGATGGATATGATCCTTGGTTTCAATATGCCGCATCTACTATAAACTTCTGAACCCTCCACCATCATTCAGGATGCATCTCTAATGGTTGAAGAAGTGGTGGAGGATGGCATGGGAGAGAGTTCCTGAGGATCCTTGCCTGGGACAAGTTATGGAAAGAAAATCTTACAGGTATTCTTCTTATATGTTTTACTTGGTTGCTGTGTTTTTATTAGATAAAATAGTTCTTTTTCTGGAAAGTGTGGATAATGGTGATGGTGGGGAATGGGAGATGGGAGGATTGCGGTGGAGCAGTGGTCTTGTTTTTCAAGGCTAGAAGAATTAGGAAAATAGCATCTTTCTGTCTTCTTTATTTTTGTGTTCATGCACAACTTTTGCTGTCATCTTAATAAAGAAGATGTATTAGAGTTCTTGAATTATAGATTCATTTATATGGTAATACGATTCACCAGGAACATTTAGGTACACAGCATGCTGACATAATAGTATTAGCTGTCAATAACTCTTATAAACCAATAAAGTGTTGAGACTTGTGGATTGTATTAAATTTCAGATATTTTGAATATATACTTAAAAATCTTATTTGTAATTAACTTGTTGATTATTTCTTCTTTGGTTATGTTAATTGGCTATTTAACCATTTGGCACTCTGATTTATTTCTCAGGCATGAAGATTTTGTTTAACACTGTTTTTGCATTTTAATTAAGTAGTTAATTAACTGGAGCTTCTTAAGTCTTAAGTTCTTGATTTTTCTCTAGAATACCAGAAACTTAAGTGCCAAGAACTCAGAGAATAGCTTCCAAGATAGCTCTAGTCCCATTGCAGCTTAAAAATATTGCAGAAGGATTTTTTTTTACAAACCATATGTCAGAGAATTTCTTAGATGGTTCTAGAAATTCTGTTATCTGAGATTTTAGAAATGGTCTCTTTGGTTATATTCCTGATATCTGATAATTCTGTTGTGATTTTTAAATGATAACATAAGTATGCTTGAGTATGTGGGGGAAGTTATTTTTGGAAACTTAGAGCAATTGTAACTTACACCTATAACAACTCTATTTAGTGGAAGTAATAACATAAAATTCAACATAAAATTGGCCTAGGTAAAGTAAGTGAAATGAAACTGTATATTGGTAGTTTTTTTTTTCTTTCTTTTTTGTTTTAATGAAAATAAGAAATATTGCTCTTAAGAGGGAATTTTGTATTATTTTCTCTTCTTCTTTTTTTTCTAGCTTGGGCACTAGGAAAAGAACCCTTTATCTCATCTTGTCTTCCAGTCCATTTTGAATCAAGAAAGATCCCTTGAAGACTCCTTTGAGAAGAGTCTGTTTTGAAGAAGGAAAAGGAATACTGTTTGAGAGAAGGCAAACAGACAAAAAGGGTGATAGAAACATGTATCTTGTTGTATATTTAACACTGAGAGACCTTCTAGAGTGAACATAGAGAACTGAGAAGTAGTAAATTAAGGAATGACTGAATCTTGTGGGTCTTGATGGAAAAATGCTGATCATCTTCTAATGTGGAAAAACAGTTGGTGCTTCAGTCCTAGGACTTTTTGTCTCTGCTGTGTGCAGTTATAAACCCTTACATTCAGAACCACCCGTTTGTCCTTTGTGAATGATGGCACTCTTGCTTCTGTTTCAGCAATGCCTCTAAGGATGAATGAAAATATATAGCATCTGCCAAAACCTAAAAAATACAGTCCATTTATTTATCACTAGAGCTTTGTAAGGTACTTTTCTTGCATTTTAAAATTCTTTAGTGCTTGAAACCAACCACTGTGGGATTTTATCAAAAATATTAGTTTTTCAGGATGAAGTATGGTGATTTCTATCTATGTTATGATCAGTTTTATCCATTGTGATATCCATAAACAACTTGATGGAACTGAGATTTTATATTTTACACTTAAATAATTATGCTATTTATGGTGTGTAATTAATGTATGATTTTCTGTTTTCCTTGAGATTTTAACAGACCTTATATTACTGTATATGTCAAAATAAAAATTTTAAAATAGTAAATGTTATAATATCAAGGATATGGATTTTATGTTGATTTTCTACTAAATGTTGAATTTGGTCTTCAAAACCCTGATCCTAAATGAGAAATCAATCTCAACATTTGAAAATTAAGAGTTTGTCTGTGTTATATAAAAAGCATCTTATGAATTGGTTTGTGTGGGTGTTTTTTAAAATAAATTTTTATTTTTAATTTTTTTCAGTATGTAATCATACTCTTAGGCAGCTTTTCTTTGGAAGACAAGAAGGCGATTTTATTTTGAACCAGTAATTGTTTCAGTTTTCCAGGCCAATAATACAAATTTGAAAACTTATTCATTTTTCTTCAGTCTTTCCTTATCTTAAGGGCTTTTAGAACAGAGAATACAATTAATTTGAACATAGTATCTCTGTAGTCAAAAATGTGTTTTCAATCTTTGAAAGTCCTTCTTATGTACCAGGGTCTTTTCTGAGAGCTCTCACTAATACAGAATAGAGTAAATAATTGAGTGAGCATATGTATATGTAAGGGTGTGATTTTGTTTCAATGTGGCATAGTGAATTGCGCAAACATGTTTATCACTGCTTTTCTTCTAGCAGCAAAAAGTTAAGAATAACTTTAAGGTACATCAAAAGGGAGAATGGTTGTAGTGGAACATTATGGAACTCTTAAAGAAATGGATTCTCTTTCTATTGATATTTTAATAAGTGAGGAAAACAAAATATAATTCATAAAGTATCTTAGTTTGAAAACCTTGTGTTTTTGTAAAACATATTATATATATTTGAGCCTGAAGAAAGTTATAATTATCTTGACATATGAGATGGGGAATAAAGAAGGAATAGGAATGATTGTTAAACAATTTTTGTATTAGCACGTAGTTTCAGTGAAAGTATTACTTTTTTATAATTTTTGAAGAAGAGTTTAAGAATTATGCAAAAATACATGTAATGTTTATTATATTTTTATAACCTTATGGAATAATAGAAAAATAAAAACTTGTAATGGTCAGTGATATACATAATTTTCTGTTAATGTAGAATAAATTAAGGAAGACCTAACATTGATTGTGATCCATGGGAACACCAAGACAGAAGTCAGCCTTAACTACAGGAGATGAGAGTCAAGATTAGTACAGACATTTGAAATGTAAAAATTCTTATTATAGGATAGAGATTCAATTTCACCTGCTTTGTCTCCTTAGTTTTAATACTTTTGTGTTCAAGACACCCAATTGCCCAAAAAAATTTGATTGAATTTACTTATATTTCTTCTTTTTACCCCTCTTCTTCATGCTCCTCCTTAGAAACCCAGGGGTGCTGTTAATGTAGTGATACATGTTGTTGTGAAGCTGGGCATTACTTTGATCAGAATATTAGAATATTCGTTAATGCCTGATTACGGCCATATAAGGAAAATTATTAGAGTAGCAAATACCTATGACTGTTTTGGGCTTGTACAGTTAACATCATGAGTTCATAGGATATAAGTTTTAAAATACAACAATTTAAAATATAGCTAAGTAATAGTTGTGATAGATGTGTCAGACTCAGGAAATAATCGGCTATTAAAATACTGTAGACAACAGCCTTAAATTTATTTTCTATTGTGCCCATAGAATTGTGTGTATAACTTTAAAAAAAATCAATCACAGTTTAGGAAGAAAAACCAGTATGTCTTTGGGGATAGTATCATACAATAAGATGCAGAAATATATAAGATGTACAAAAACTTAGGAAAAAATGGGACGAATTTCAGATTCAATAAGACGACTTTTACAAGTAGTTGATTTTTTTTATAAGTGGTTCTGAAAATACTCAACATCATTCCATAGTTGAGACCACAGCATATGACCATAAGGTACAAGTTGAGCATCCCAAATCTGAAAATCCCAAATCTGGAAGGCTCTAAAATTTGAAACTTTTTGAGCACTGACACATTTTGGATTAGCACTGACATGACATTTTGTATTTTCTTATTTGGGTTGCTAAGTCTTAATGCAAATGTTCCAAAATCTGAAAAAAATTAAAAATCAAAAACACTTTTGGTCCCAAGCATTTCTGATAAGGGACACTTAACCTATATTATAGTTGATTAGTTTTTTGTTTATGATTCAACTTGGTCTCAAAACTAAACTCAATATTTTCTTTTCAAGCCTCATCACCCTTTACCATTATTTTGGGGAATGACTCCTCCATCTATCCAGTTGTTTCAAGTTATCATTTACTACTCCAGTAACAGCTATATTCAGTAGGCCTTGAATTATTAGGTTTCTTCTTTATAATGTATATATTTTTATGCTTCTGTATCAATTCTGTCTTAAACATTCCTTTTTTTTTCTTTTTTAATGTTCACAGGTAGCTTTGAAATATTTCTTATTTGGATTATAATGGCAGCCTCATTCATTGTAGCTGTATTCAATCTATACCATTCTCAAAGGGATCTTTCTAAAAGCAAATCTGATTAACTCATTCTTTCTCCTCACCCCCTTAAAATTATTCTTTGATAAAGGACTGATCTCATAGAGAGGGCCTCTTAAAACCCTGCTAGATCTTTGGAAGCACATAAGCTTGGTTCAGATCCCTATTCTACCCTTACCACTATGACTTCTGACAAGTTTGAACATCCTTAGATTCTTTAGCTTGCAGAAGGAGGATGAGTATAATCATCTACCTTACAGAATCATTATGAAGATTTTACATTTGTAAAGTTCTTAGTACTTTGCCTGACATATAGTGTTAGCTGTTGTTAGAATTAACTCTCCAGCCATACCTCTCTCTACTGTCCTTCCTTTGTATATAGGATTATCCAAAGTACTCACTATAGTTGGCCATTTACTTTTCTGCCTCCTCCAACATTGAAAGCTTTTCTAGGGTATATGAGCTGCCTTATTTTTCATTATATTTCCTGTGCTTAGCACTACATGTAGTAATTTGTTGGTTCTTAATAAATATTTGTGGGAAGAGTTAATTCTGTTAGGTTTTGACAGATTAGAAAAGTACAAGATATATATTGAAAAATTATTCTTGGGCTCCTGAAGAACTTTTTAAAGCAGTGTTTTATTGGCCTTTGTGAGCACAGTGCTTGGCAATTAGTAAGTGCTCAATAAATTATTTGTAATCAAAATTGGAATATAAATATGAATAGGAGCATTAGGTAAGGGACAGGATGTAGTTGTTTTGGTGGAGATGTTATCAGTTTTCATGTTCCATTTCCATTACAGTTGCGAAGAAAGAAATTCTACACTTGCATACCTTCAGAGCCTAGCAATCCTTTTCTTTTTTAACGATTTATGTGAGCAGGTTTTTTGTTTTTTTAATTTCTTTTTACTCAAAACTTCCATTTTGGTTCTCTTGCCTTAGCCAGTACAAAGGTGGCTTATGGGTACTTCCTATCTATGAAATGACTTGGTATTATGAGCCACTGATTAGCTGAAGAGAGTCAGAAAAGAAAGATGAATCACTGGAAAGGAAAAAGATTTTTCTTCCTTCCTGTGTGTAGAAGACATACATTTTTCTTTAACAGCTAGTTAAAATCAGAATAAGCTGTTTTACCATAATTCCAATTAAATATCATAATGAATTGTTGGTCCTTTGTCTAGGCTGGTAATAGATACCATTTAGATAAAATTAGTCTATGGGATTTGATCATTGAAATACTTGAAAGTCATTTATTAACCGCTGGTTTTAGATGTTTTCCTGGTATGTTTGGTACTAATTTTTAGTATGATTTATTCAAGATTCACTTTGTCCTTCATTTAATAAGTAAGCAAATTGGAGTGGTATGTAAATTATCTCAGTAATGCTATTAAAAAATAGGCAGAAGCAATTTCACAAACCTTAGGGTAATTCATTCATTCTTCCATTCAGCTACATCTTACTCTGAAATCAGGATGAGGGCTTCAGTGAAACGGAATTATCTACAAATCCATTTTTCAACAACAGCCAATTATACACTTAAATGTTGTACTCCTTCATCATTTTGCAAGTAGAGAATTCATATCAGATTCTTATTGTCTGAAATAATCTTTCAATAATACTCTTACTTTCTCACCCATAGAGATTACTTAAGTTTCTGCTTTGATCACTGTGTAGATATACTTTGTGAAAGTTATCTACTTAACAGTTCCAAAGATTTTAACTTCCCACTCCCACCTCCAAAAGTACACATATAAACAGGCATTCAAAATTAGTACCCGAAGCAGCAATCCTCCTACCTTGAAACTTATACAAAAAATTTTGTCAGATGATTTCTTTGTATAATGAATTTTCATTTTTCCAGAAATAGCTCAAGGTGAATATTTCATTTAGTAACTTATTTGAATTACTGATCTTTCTTTGCATAAAATTGCCAGAGAATCACTACCAGATTTTATTCCTTGAAATAGAATCTCCTAAATTTAGCTTTTATATTTGTTTACTAATGTTTACTAGTATTCTTATAGTAAAGGGAAAAACAGTCTGTTTATTGCTTCTATGTAGAAACTGACCTCTTCATAAATAGAAAGCACCAGTCCACTGTTAGGACTATTGGCTTTCGTTTACAATTTAATTCAACATTTTTAAAGCCCTCCTAACTTTGCCCCATGTAATTGAGATACAAAGTTGAATGAGATAATTGTGACATCTAAGATTCTTTAAATTACAAAACAAAACATAGTTCTGTATGAGACTAGAGTATAGAGACAAAGGAGAAAGGGATATGGTGTGGAAGACTTTATATTAATACAAGAGATGGTAATGAAGCTAAGGTTTAGAAGAAGAGAATCAGTTTGGGAGTGGGTGGTAGAGTACTGGGAAGTAGGAAAAAATGGTGCCAGGCTTAAAGACCTATGGTGTTCTAGAACCCTATAGGCCATTTCTAAGGGTGGAGCTCTGTTAGAGAGTGAATACAGCAGAGGGAGTCAGGGACCAATGACCTAATGAAGGATATCATAGCCTTTTCATAATATGCAAATTACTACATATATGAGTTGCTTCTTAAAATACAAGTAATACAGATTCTGACTCAATAAGTCTAGGGTGGGATCATATATTTAGTAGGCGATGTTGCAAGTGATGCTACTGGTTCCATGACCACATTTGGAACAGCAAGATTATAGACTATTCTGAGGAGTTTTGTCTTTATTCTTTGGGGCTTGAAGCAGTGTTATGATTAAACTATAAACTTAAGAAAATCTTGCTTACATAGTATAGCAGAGGGGGGGGATATGGTGACGATTTAGCTTTGGTGAAGAAAGAGAAAGAACTGAACTATGTGACACTGGAGTTGAGGATGAGAAGTTGGAGGCAAGAGATAATGCAAGAAGTATAATAAGCTCTTGGTTATTAATTGGCTAAGGAGGGGAGGTGTTGAAGGAGGAGTGATTTTTGCATGTTTCCCAGGTCTGGGTCTTGGCTAACTGGCAGGTGCTGTTCATTGAGTTAGGGACAAGTTTGATATCTTTGTGTCTGGGTGGTAATAAGAAAAAGATGCCTGGTAGCAGTCCCAAATGACTCTAAATTGTCATGTCAGGAAAGCAGATACAGATATTAGGGACCAATTAGGGTCTGCTATTTTAACATTTATTGAGAGTCTCCTGGTTGCCAAGTTCCCTGTTAATTCTTGGTATACTATTAATAGAAGGGGTAAAATGGGATCTCTTCCCTAAAGCATTCTCACTATTGAGTGGGGAGATAAAACCAAATGAATGTTTGCTATCTGTTGTGATCCACCCAATCATGAAAGCTACCAGGGTGGGAATGGTTTCTGGAGAATACTAGGGAAACTTTTAAAGTAGGTGACAGTTTAACAAGATGTAGAAGGGGGAGGAGGAATTCCACAAGTAAGTGGATGGGGAAGTGAGAGGAAAGATGGATATCCCAGTCAGTATAGGAAGTTATCTGCTGAGTACAAGTTTTAGATCATTTGCTATAGCAACAGCTCAGAGTAGAACTCTGGATGGTGGAAGAGGAGGTTGCAGAGATAAGCAGGGGTCTGATTATAAGCAATCTTCTTGGCCATGTGTAGCTTCTTTACCTTGTAGATAATGAGGGCAAGGACACTTGGAGTGGTTAATTTTGCATTTTGCAGAGAGCATTCTGGTACCAATGTGGAGGATGAATTGGAGAGAGAACTTGAGACTTGAGGCCCAGGTAGATAGTCTATAGTAGTGCTTTAAGTCCAAATATTTAAGCCCCAAACTCAAATTCCTTAAGGGGTCAGGCTGGTAACATGAATATGGGAAGTGGCAGTGCTGTGATACTTAGAGGGGGACTGCATTTTGTGGTGAAAGGGAATCTGCATTTCCTTTACCCCCACCAAGGAATTCACACTCAAATTATACATACCATTGTGCTACCAAATAAAACACCCTTAAGATTGGAATCTCCTGGTCAAAACTGAGGTCATTGTGGTGATAGGAAAAATGATATGACATACTAGGTGGTTGTATTACCCATTAACAGCAAGGGAATATAGGAGGAATTGCACACTTTTGGTGAAAAGTGAAGACTTAGGTTTGAACATGTTGGATTTCACATGTTTTGTGAGAAGTTGGCTAGAGAATGTGGTTTGGCAAGCCCTTCATAAAGTGGAGATTTTTTGAGGAAAAATGTGAGAGAAGACAAAAGGGCTAGGATGGAACTCCAAGAAGTTTTAAACTTCAAAAGTGGCCATTGAGAGGATCAAACAGTAAAAGAGAGCTTGGTGGTTAGATATGCTGTAGGTGAGAAATTAGTGATTTGCTAAAGAAGAATATTCAGTTGTGTCAGATGCTACGAAGTGCAGAAAGAGAGTGCACAGAGTCCTTCAGATTTGGTACAGAGTAGCCACTAGTATATTTGTCCAGAGCAGTTTCAATGGGACCAGAAAACTCTGGATTGTAAGAAGTACTGGGAGATGAGAAAGTGCAGGCAATAATTTTCTTTCAGACAGATTCTTCCTCTGCCTTTGCCATTCATTAAAGGTTCTTTCTCAAGGCTCAGGTTCCTGAATTGAATGATTTAATTATTTATAGGCTGCCTATCCGAAAATACTTCTCTATGAGATAATTTTATTCATATTAGTTTGTTGACAAAAGTCAAGGGAAAATAATGGGAAATATTGTTTTGAAACTGAAAATCTATACCAAAGCTAGGTTAGAAAGTAAGTTTTTATATTTTATAGACTTTTTCACCCGTTCTCACTATATTACAGTAGTCTTTGTTCTTTGAAACTTCAAGAAAACTCCAAGGAAATATTTTCAGGTTAAAAAATCAACACATTTCAGGTTAAAAATAAAAATCTGCATTTATTTTCTTGTCATAAACATGAGAGCATGTTTTAAACATTCTACAAATTATTCAGCTACAGGAGAACCATTTCTTTTAGTACTTAAAAATGTGCTTAAGCATTGGAGTGCTTTATAGTTTTACCCTAGTTCTTCTTTTAATAGAGGCTTAAAATTTATTCATAGTCTTTGCAATGTCGCCCTCTAGGGATAGCTTTCCAGAAATACATTAATTGTTGAAAAGTTTGTCTCATCTCTCTCTTTTGATTCCACCAGTCCTTTGCCACAGCCTGTGTTGTTTGGTGTCCTGTTTTATTGCTCTTTAGATGTGTGTTTTTATTTATATCAGACATCTTACTCTGCTTTAATGGCATTGGTAAAAGATCAGGAGCTTCGGAGGCAAAAAATAAATAAATAAAATTGAGTATTTATGCTTACATTTCCATTTATCAGCCTCTTGTGTAGGGCAAATTACCTGTCCAGAGTGCTTATGGGAAGTAGACAAAATGTCTTTGTGTGACACCTGACACAGTGAAGAGTAGGCATTCACCATGTGCTGCATTCTCTTTCACACTTTTGTCCCCATCCTTGTTGACTAAAACTAGGGGTCAGTACTGTTTGTTTTTTCTGAATTCTCCTCATATAACATTTCACTGTATTATAATTGTCTATTGTCCATGTTCTGTAACTTCTAGAGGCAAGGTATCATGTTTGGCTTGTGTGTTTTTGTATCTGTAGTATTTAGCCGAGTCTGGCACACATAGGATCCTAATTGGATAAATATTTATTGAATAAATAATGAATTATGAACTAAATGAATTATGATTGAGTAAATGAGTGCTGCTTTTTAATATAAATCCTAGAATATGTTATAGAAGTTTTTCTGGTATTGATTGTTCATGCACATTGCACATGGATAATATATGGTAAGATTAGATTTTATCCCGTAGTCTTTGATAGAGGTATTTATTGGATGACTTTTTCAATTTCTTCTATAGTTATTAGTCTTTTCAAGTTTTTGATAATGTGATAATTTGTGTTTTCCTTAAGAATTGCTGATTTTATCCAGTTTAAAAAATTTATTAGCAAATGGTTGTACATATAATTTCCTTATAATATTTTATCTCTGTATATAATGAAAGCCCTTTTATCATTACAAATTTTATGTCTTGTGTTTTTCTCTTAATGCTTTCATGTTTTTATTTTTTGTAGAAACTTTTATTACTCTAAATTTGCTTCGGTTACAGCTTTGACTAATGCCATATAGTTTAATATATACTCTTTTTATTTTCTAAGTTTTCAATAAAATGTAGCTGTGATTTCCTCATTGATTTAAAAGTTACTTAGGGTATTTTAAAATTGTGAAAAAATATATATGTGTTTAAAATACAGTTAATTTCAATATTTACTATAATGTGGTCTGACAATAAGGAATACAATTTCTGTTTCTTGAGAATTTATTGAGTTTTTTCCTTATGATACATGTAAGAATGTGCCCCAGGCAATGAGAAAGGTGAGTCCTCTGTAGGGTATTTAGTTCTGTGTATTTATTTATTGGCTTTATTACGTATACTATGCAGATCTCCTATTTTTGACTACTTCTGCTATTGTAATTATGAGAATTAAAGTTTTGCATTACTGTTGTGTGTCATTTTTCTCATTGTTTCATGTTTTATTGTTATATTATTTGGTTCTTCAAAGTTTATGATATCTTCATAATGGATTTTACTTTTCATCAATTAAAAATATTTAATCTTATCATTAAATATTGCTGGTCATTTGGATATCTGGGGAAAAATGACACTTGATCGATCACTACTTCATAACATGCACATTGGATTCAAGAGCTAAATGTGAAAAGTAAAATAATGAAGCCTCTCAAGGACAATATAAGAATATCTTCGTATCTGGGAGTAGGGAAAAGTTTCTGAAACAGGACACAAAACCTTAGTAATATAAAGGGAAGGGGTTGATAACCTGGACCATCGACAATTTAAGAACTTTTGTCATCAAAAGATACCAATATATAAGAGATGAAAGCAAACCAAAGAATAAGAGCACATACTTGCAATATATAAACCTGACAAATGGCTTATATCCACTACACATCATTATGAAAAAGACAGACAACCCAGTAGAGTAAATGAGAAAGAGACTTGAACAGGCACTTCCCAAAAGAAGATACTCAAATGGCTTATAAATGGATGAAAAATTGCTCAACTTTATTATTCAACTTGATAATTAAAACCATAAAGAGATAAAACCACAAAACTCACCAGAATGGTTAAAATTAAAAAGATCAATAATACCAAGTGTTAGCAGAATATGGATAGCAATGCAAATCTCTTTTGCTGAAGGTAGGAGTATAAATTGGAAAATCACTTGTAAAAACTATTTGGCAGTATCTGCTGAAGCTGTTGTGTACAGACATATATCTAGCAATTTCGATAGGTATTCATGCACATATCCACTGAAAGGCAAATACAATCATGTTCAAAGTAGCATTATTTGTATTAGCCAAACCCTGAAAACACAACTGTCAGCAGTAAATGGATAAATAGATCCTGTATATTCAATACTATACAGCAATGAGTACAGCAATGAAAATTCACAAAGTTCCATGTGAAAATATAGATTGCACAAAACTGTTGAATGAAATAAATCACGTACAGACGAATACTTACCGTATATGGTTCCATGTATATAAAATTCAAAAGCAGGCTAAACTAAATATTGGACCTCAGATTAGTGGTTACTTTTGTGGGGGAGGAAGGTGTAGTTATTGGGAAGTGGTATTGAGGAGCTTCTAGGTATTAGTACTGTTCTATTTCTTGACTTTGGTGGTTGCATGGGTATAGTGACTTTGGGATAATTCATTGAGTTTTATAATTTATGATTTGTGCGAGCTTTTCTGCATGTGTATTATGCTTCAATAAAACTCAAATTATGAGAAATAAAAAATGTCACTTTAGTGTGAAGATATTAATATTAAAAT